ATGGGAAACAGTTCGCGATTCACAGACAGTATATAAAACAGCAACAACACATCTGATTTACGTTGATTATATGTGATAGCAATCCTTCGTCAGAAACACTACGAGAAAGAAGTCTTTATTTCGGACTTTAGAGGTCCCGCAGAGGCAGTGGGCTTTTATTGTGAAAAATGTCTAAGCCACGCCTACTTTCGAGCATTTTGATCGATGAGTAAGTAGAACTCGTTCACCGGGTCGGCAAATCCCCGTATGTAGTGACGTCATGTGGGAACTATGTATAGCCATGTCAAAACGAAAAATAAAATAAAACATCTCAAGCATTCTTCCATATGCATTGTGTGTGTGTGTGTGTGTGTTTTTATTTTTTTTATACAAATAAGTAAATTATCCTTTGCTCTGTGTCGCTGAACAGACTCCATTTTGGAGTGGTAAACAGTTGCATGTTGGACCTCAAGCATATTTAGTTGGGGACTGCTGTGCTATGTTGCCACAGTAACAACTAGTAGCTAGCCAAACAAGTTGGAGACGCGTGATAGAAATGGATTTGCTTTGGAGGGAAATGTCTGATGAGCTGAGAAGACTGACATTTAGTATTACTATAAAGTACATAGATTTCGGTATTCACGTAGCCCTGGCGCACACTGATCATTACATTTAACATAATCAACAGCAAAAATGACCACACCAACTTGAGCCTGTAACATCAGTCCTCGTGGCAGAAACGTCAGTAGGCCTACAGGCGTCAGTAGGCCTACAGGCGTCACTAGGCCTACAGGCGTCAGTAGGTCTACAGGCGTCACTAGGCCTACAGGCGTCAGTAGGCCTACAGGCGTCAGTAGGCCTACAGGCGTCAGTAGGCCTACAGGCGTCACTAGGCCTACAGGCGTCAGTAGGTCTACAGGCGTCAGTAGGCCTACAGGCGTTTCTCGGAGCTGAGCCTCCTCATCAACACATCCTTCCACTCAGACTTGAACCTATGAGTGAGGTCCTTTGGAAAAGCAGCTGAATGAGCTGGGTCTTGCGTCTGTGCAGAATACTGCGCCGCTGCAACGAAAACATGTTTCTGAGTGTGGAAAACGACCGGACTCTGGGCCTGTAGAACGAGCGCCTGTACCCCCCCACACTCCCCTCCACACTCGCGCCACCGTTTGTACCATGAATATGGCTCGGTCAGTGCTGTGGCCGCGTCCACTTTTCAGTCTCTCTCAGCCTTCACTGAAAGCTCCAGTGTCTGAGTGTAAAACACACACTTCGAACGCGGGGTTTTTCGGCGGACTTCAGCGCTTTGTAGTAAAGGGTTTTTCGGCGGACTTCAGCGCTTTGTAGTAAAATACACACGAGCACCTGTCACTGCCTTTGCCAAAAGCCTCTCACGAACCGGACAGGGAAATGAGCATAAAGAGGCCGACATCGTGGACTCTCAGAGCGGAGGATGATCGTTAATACTCCTCTATCATCAGCTATGTTTTATGTTGTGCCCAGACAACACGGGAGCCGTGCGCAATTGCGCACGAGCGCAGTTAGAGGGAACCGTGCCTGAAAGAGAGAGAGGGATGAATGCCACCGGTCCCCTCTGTCGGTGTCATGGGAGGAAATAGTTATCGTTGTGGAGTTTGAGCTGGTCTTTAATCGGTTAGAAAGCGCAAAAGTAACACTGCGCAAATGAGTGATACGCAGCCTATCTTTGCCCAATTTGTAGTGGCTTCTCGTGGTTATGCGGCGTATACTGTACCTGCGTATCGCGTAGGCTACACCACTGATTGTAGAGCAGTAGTGTTTGTGAGCACCCCAAAGCTATGGAGCTATTATTGTTTCAATAATATTTGTGTGTGCGTAAACAGATTTGTGTGTGCGTAACCAGATTTGTGTGTGCGTAACCAGATTTGTGTGTGCGTAACCAGATTTGTGTGTACGTAACCAGATTTGTGTGTGCGTAACCCGATTTGTGTGTGCGTAACCAGATTTGTGTGTGCGTAACCAGATTTGTGTGTGCGTAACCAGATTTGTGTGTGCGTAACCAGATTTGTGTGTGTGTAAAAGAAATATTTGTGCGTGTGTAAATAGATTTGTATGTACGTATCAAGATTTGTGTGTGCGTAAAAAGATTTGTGTGTGCGCAGAAAGATTTGTGTGTCTTGATTTGTAAGTTTTACACACAAGTAGGTTTTAGTTTACTTTGAGTTCTATGAGGAAAATGTCTGTGTAGCCCACGTGAATTTAGTCTGCAGTACGCGAGAATACCTCAGCTCCAAGCTAGTAACACCCAAACCAGTTATTATAATAGATCCATGTATTATACAGTGGTGTGAATGACAAGATTTTAAATATAGGAAAAAAAACATCACAAACAGCTGCGGTAGTGTGTCTTGTCAAGGCAGTAGGTTTTGGTTTGCTTGCCTGTAGGTAATAACCAGCTACAACAGCACCATCTGCTGGTGTACTGCTGGAACAACCACATTACACTTACGAATCTTTTTGACACACGCTTGGCGGCAGAGGTGTGTCAAAAAGAGATTTGTGTGTAAAACAGAGCCTGTGCGTAGCACTATTTACACACAGATTGTTCTGCTACAGATACAAATGTCAAATTACACACACACAAATCTGTTTACGCACGCACACAGTCCAAGTTACACTTGCGAATCTGCAAAGGCAGGACTGCGTCAAAATATTCGTGTGTAAAAAAAAACTTGTGTGTAAAACTTACTTTTTTTTTCTTTACACACACACAAATCTTTCTACGCACACACAAATCTTGATACGTACATACAAATCTGGTTACACACGCACAAATATTTCTTTTACACACACACAAATCTGGTTACGCACGCACAAATCTTTTTACGTACACACAAATCTGGTTACGCACACACAAATCTGGTTACGCACGCACACATCTTTTTACTCACACACAAATCTGTTTACGCACACACAAATATTATTGAAACAATAATAGCTCCATACAAAGTGCCCTCATATTTTTGGAATTTGACCTGTTCATGTTAATAGTCTGTGATGTTACAACACAGTTGTGACATAGAACACAGTGATCTCAACATGACCGCCTATGCTGGACAAGCTATAGAGCAAGGAAAAAGATTAACCAATGAGCTTACAGCAGAGGCATCCCGGTCCACCCCATGATTTGCATATCATTAAGAGAAATACGGAAATAAATAGAGAAATAAATGCAGAAAAAAAAAAGAGAAATAAATAAATAAATAAATGCTAAAATATTGGGGCGACAGTAGCTCAGTTGGTAGAGCATTGGCCTTAAGGCCAGAAGGTCGTGGGTTCAATTCCCACCTCTGCACCTTCTCCACCGACTCCCACTGATGACTGCTGTCGTTGTGTCCTTGGGCAAGACACTTAACCCCACTTTGCCCAAAAAGCCCCCACTGAAAGATCAAGGCTATGCTCACACTCAGAGAGCAGCCGTCCTCCTGTGGACTCACCACCTGCAGAGGGTCAGTGAGGGGCTGGTGCTATGAGACTTGGGTGGCATCTCTGATTGCCACCCCCCTGACCCAGAAATGGATTAAAGGGTAGAAGATGGATGGATGGAGAAATAAATAAATAGAGAAATAAATAAATAAATACAAAAATAAATGTATAACTGCAGAAATAAATGTATGAATAAATACAAAAATAAATATATAAATAAATAAATACAGAAATAAATGCACTTATTCTCATAATTGCATGCATTTCTTTGCAAATTTTATCTTTTTTAAATGTATTTATTTATATATTTATTGTTTTGGCAGCCACAATCTTCCATAAAATTCAGCTTCATATAAAGATGTGATATAAGTTTTATGTTTTAAGAGCAGTTTTGACCACTTTCTCACACACTTCCTCAGAGTGGTCACGGGATGTTCCTGTGAAGTATCTTGTCATCTGTTTAACACACTTTGGTATTGAAAAAGAATCAACTTGAAAATCAGAAGACTAGTTTTTGTCTTAAGGGAAAGTACAGATTCGAGTTTGATAATCAATGATGTTAAAAGCAGTACCTGATAAATTGAAATGATACAAATACAAGCTTCTGTAGGCATGTGTTCTTAAAGGAAACATGATACAAATGATGCTATTTTGAAACCCTTATTTTCTGCCATAATCATCAAGATTTTCACCATTGACGTTGAGCGACAGAACTAAATGAACAATTCTTTTCTTTTGTCAAAACACCTGACATCTCGAATACCAGATATTCTCCTTGTGTTTTAGACATTACTTTCAAAAAGATATTTGAATCATAAAACATCAATCAAAAAGCCATTAGTGCGTCTTGTGCAAGGTTTGCTATCAACAAACACACACACCTGCATTGGCGTTACCATGGAGACGCCTACTGTATGTTATCATTGTCAAATATATTGTTCTGAGAAATCCGTTTAAACTATGATGAGGCAATTTAGCCGCATGTCGTTCACAACACTGGCACAAACATGAGCCGCGCTCAAATGCTACACTATATAATTATAATCTGATCACTTCTTTTTACACATCTTCTGCTCATGCTGCGGTTTGTCTGAGTGAGTGAAATCAACTGTAAACTGTGCCATTGGGAAACGTTCTAACCTCACTGACGTTGATGACAAATGTTTTAGCTAAAGACAGGGATAATGGAATGTTTGATAAAACATACCATTCACTTCCTGAACATCTTAAGAATGCATTTTTTATAGATTGATTATTATTTTCTTGTTTTTAATTATGTTTCTAGAAATCAGGCAAAGTTGAGAATCAATTATTCTTGAACGTGCATGGATGAATAAAATAAAGGACATTTAGGGCTATACATAAAATAAATGTAATTGAAACGATGCAGCCAGGCAAAGTTGAAAATATTGATTCATGAATTTCTGGATTAATAAATACAAGAGTTCAAACAACTTGAAGAAAGTAGCGGCTTATAATCCGGCAAGTACTGTGCATATAGTGGAATGTGTTATTTGTGACTTAATATAACATTTTTTGTGTTGTGTAAGCGTTTATACCTTTGCAGAGGACAAGTGGGATGTCCCATTGTCCCGTGGCATTACAGTAAAACACATCTCTCGTCTCCACTCGTTCAAACCCAGAGTCACAGTGGTAAAGCACATGCGATCCAGAGTTGGAGAGATCATCCCAGAGCATGTATGAGTGCGGACGAGCAGGAGGCGGGCCACAGTCCACCTCTAACACCAGAGCACAACATACAGCTGTTATACAGGTGAATCCACAGCCACCCACTGCATTCTCTGCTGATGAGGCAGAGGGCCACTCTCACTCCCATGGACGTCCTTTAACCTCCACTTTTAGACTCTGCATCATCAACTCTGACAAGTGAAAATCAGAGAATATTGTTCAAAAGTCAAATTCTCTCTGGTTTGTGAGTTGTCTCAGCTGAGAGGAGGAAGTCCTCAGAAGAAACTGTTACAGTAGTCTATGCATCGTATCCAGACTCCTCACTTCAACAGCAGAACCCCCGGCCCCTGGGGGATCAGTTGATCACTTTTAAAGCTCGTTTAGGTCTGGCACCGAGCTAAATTTCAGATTTTTTAAACCCAGGACACTGCACCTGTCCTATAGTTGTTGGCCCTCTATCTGCTTTATTTTCCTGTATTCATTCTTTTTTATGTTTATGTCATAACGACAGTTTTCATGATCTTGCTTTGTTTTATGGTGACTGCGCAGAACTATGTAAACACTGTTTTAAAAAAAATATATTATGATTATTATAATTTTTTTTTTTAATAATGATTATTGTTGTAATTATCAATAATCATTTTTCCTCTTGGCTCTCACCATGAAAAAGTTTCATAGCATTTTTTCCTTATCCTGTAAATCATTGGCTGCAGTTGGATTCCTCCCAAACCACAGGGACCTCCAAACCTGAACCTGATCCACTTTGGCATAAATCCAAAGTTCCAATGGAATTATTTCTGGACACATGTAATGAGTCTGTCATATTCGTTTCACATTGTAAGTTCAATTACAAAAATAAATGCCAGCAAACATTATAATGATAATAACTTTCACTTGTAATTCATTTTCCTCGGGCTACATTCGAATATCAGCCTCTAATCGAGGACTTGACATTCAACAACATTTATGGACATTTATCAACATTTATGGACACTGGTCATCTGCCCCTTTTGGATCACTGGTTTCAAGTGTTTCTTTAACACTGTATTTCTTGTGTTTGAACTGTTTTTAGTCTTCCAAGACAACAACTGTTGTGATTTAGGGCTATACAAGAATACATTGAATTGAATTGCTCTGCGGCAATTGGGGGCGACAGTGGCTCAGTTGGTAGAGCACTGGCTTTTGAGCCTGAAGGTCGCGCGTTCGAGCCCACTGTAAGACCTACTTCACGACTCCCAGTAATGACTGCTGTCATTGTGTCCTTGGGCAAGACACTTAACCCCACCTGGCCTGAAGCCCCCGCTGAAAGATCTCAGCTCCTGTGGATTCACCACCTGCAGGAGGATCAGTGAGGGGCTGGTGCTCTGTGTACTGGGTGCAGCTCTGACTGCCACCCCTCGACCCAGAAATGGATTAAGGGGAAGAAAATGAATGGATGCTCTGCAGCAGTGCTACACAACCTTAGCCAGCGGAGAAAATGTCAGGACAAGATTCCTTCCACTTGCTTGCTTTGTTAAAGAGTAATTCAGGGGTAAGCTTTATAGGGTACAGACTTTCATGGACTGCAACAGATTTTGAAACAAGTATTTCATTTCACGCATACAGATTTGAATGAATACCCTAACTAAAGTTGGTTGTGTAAATAGGCACACCGAAAATGTTGGAAAAACACAAGTACTTTGTTAGTGGAAGCATTGAGGGCTTAAGAAGCTGCATAAGAACCTTATAATAATATGGTTCTCATTCACTGCAAAAGTTGGTGACTAGTAATTTTAGACCGTGAGTCTGGGGTCACTGCCCAGGGGGACAAGGACCAGCTGGATCTTCCTCATCACTGTAACATTTATTGCAAGGAGTCTGTGGATCTGTGCACAGTATGTTTTTATAACAGTGTGTTATGGTGCAGGCGTTTCAGGCTTGAAGCATCGAGCTGCTCCTGGTTTGGTTTGTGTGCAGAGATGGGCCTTTTGATTGGGCTTTACAAGCACAGGGTGAAAAGAACATCTTCAGGTCGCACACAGCAGACAAACCACCTGCTGCAGTCCTGCAATAACAGTGTGAAAAGGCCTTGAACTGGACATTCACGTTCAGTCTCAAATACAGAAATACAACTGTGAAAGGAGTCGTGGCGCACTTACACAGTCCCACAAACAAGGAATAATAAACATCTTAATCCCAAATGGAATGTTTGTTTATATACTGCAAAAAGTACTGGAGGAAAATACAGCCGATCAATGTTCCTGTGAGTGTTAAGTTGTTGTTAAGTTGTTATAACGTAAATGTTTGATATTCATCCCAAGGTCCCAGCACAGGAGACAAAAGAAAATATGACTCAATCAGTTGTTACCTTGGCAGACCATAGAGGGCGCCGTCCAGTGTCCACTGGCCTCACAAACAGAAGAGTTGTCTCCTCCTCTCCAGAGGAAGCCTTCGTCACATGTAAATGTGGCCACACCGTGGAAAACGTGTTTACTGACCGAGACCAACACAGCGTCCTCTGGTAACAAAGGCGCTCCGCAGTCCACAACTAAAACACAACACAGGAACAGATGTGCCGATGATGATGATTATTATCATTAATAATAATGATAATACATAATGATAATTATAATGCATTAGCTTCATACACGGGGGTGATAAACTACTACTGTAGCCACTGCTGCCCTAAGGCAGGGGTTCCCAAAGTTTTTAGCCCGCGACCCCCATCATAAATGCCCTGCTAACTCGCGACCCCCCCCCCCCCCCCCCCCCCCAACAGCCCTTCCGTCACATGAAATGAGCATGTATTTCCTTGATACGGAGTAACGCTTTCTAGAGACTCACGCCACTACCGAGCTGCACTGTCCAGCCCAAAAAAGGAGGCTTGCATATTTTTACTCATGTAGTGACACAGTGATGGGCTTGGTGGGCTCCCTCCTCAGCAGAAGTGGAGCGCATTTCTTGCGGCTCGCCCTCACTGTTCTCCTACCGCGGTAAAGTGGGCCGGCTTTCCGGAGTCAGCGGTAAAGAGGTCCGCACATTAAAAGCGGGCGGCCGCTTTCTGCTGTTACTTTATGCGGTTCATCCCCGCGGCTTCTTTACCTTTGACTCCGAAAAGCCGGGCCTCTTTAACGCGCTGTTCTACCGCTGTCCTCCCTCCCTCCGCTGCCCTCTCTCCCTCCTCTGCCCTCTCTCCCTCTCTTCGCACCATCAGCCCCTGATAGAAGTGACTTTTCTCCCCCTCCGGGTTTTTCTGTTGTGGATATTAACCACGTTTCATTTTAAAGCAGGTATTATTTATTTGTAGCCTCCAAACACCTTTAGTTTTAGCAAACAACAGCAGGACACGCTTTGTCGCTGCGCATGATGTGAGCTGTGTTACGTGATGATTTTGACTGACGCTGCAATGACTGGGACAAAATTACTAACGTTATTAAAATATATTATAGTCTCCAAACACAATTTAAAAAAAAGTAGTCCTTTTGAATCAAATCAAATGCTAAATAAATATTTAAGGGCTTTATATTTGCTCAAAAAAAAAAAAAATGTTTTGTTTGTTTGTGTGGAAATCATCTTGCGACCCCCCCAGGGGTTCCCGCGACCCCCCGGGGGGTCGGGACCCCCACTTTGGGAACCACTGCCCTAGGGCACACTGGCAGAAATGAGGCCTTTTGGCCTCTCCGAGCAGGACACAAGAACACAACCACATGTCTTTACTTAAATTGAGAATCCTATAATTACAACAAATACTGCCAACAGCTAAATGTCTCTGGTGTCACAGAATGAGCCAGTTAATGTTAAAGCGCTGCTGGAGAGGGAGGCTGAAGGCTGCACAGTGACTTTTAAATAACTCTTTATATGGCACTTCATATCACTGAACCACTCATTCTTCAGACAAAGGCTGGAGGAAACAAATGAAGCAATGGATTCTGTATTTCTCTAGTAGCTGAACCATTGTGGAGCATCAAACCTTTGCACGAGGCGTTGTGTCTGTGTGGGTGGAACGGCTGCTCTCCACCTTGGACTCTGAATCCCGTTTGACAGTAACACTGAAAAGATCCTCTAAGGTTCGAACACACGGCTCCCTCTCCGCACACTGCATCGATCAGGCACTCGTCGATGTCTGTAAAGAATACACATAATGAGGATGTCAGAAACTGAAATTGTAATTCATTTCTAAATGAAAATCATATTTCTTATCATAGTGCACTGTACTATTTTGTACAGTAATTATATTTCAACAATACTATATTTAAAACAATCCCTTCCCTTGGTATAACCACAACCAGAGTTTTGATTTCGACCAATCAATGTCTGCTTTGTCTTCAAGAGTTTCACTTTCTCTTTTCAGTTAGAAAAGTAACTTCATTTCATTTTCAAAAGATTTTTTTTTACCATATGACCTGTGGTATCATCCATATCAAGCATTCTTCATAATATCTACAGTATATTGAATACAGCAGAATAGGGGCCTCAGTGAATAGATCAATGATGAGGGCCCTAAGTACCCAGAATATACGTCTCAGAACGTATATTCTGGGTACTTAGGGCCCTCATCATTGATCTATTCACTATTTATAAGAATATACGTCTCAGAACGTATATTCTGGGTACATGTACAAAATGACACCCACAAATTGGCGACAACAGATTGAGGGCAAGGGTGAGAATTGGGACAGGGCCTAAGACTTTGGTTTTGGTCATTACTTCCTTACTATGCTTTCTGTCTCAATCCAAGAAATAATGCTTTTGTTATTATGAGTGTGTGGCTCACCTACGCAGTTGGTTCCGTCATTGGGGATGAACGTGGCCATGTTGTTGGACGGGCTGTATCCAGGCAGACAGGTGCAGAAGTAGCTCCCATACGTGTTGTGGCAAGTTGTGTGCTGCCCGCAAATCTTCACCGAACCAATCTGACATTCATCCTTGTCTGAAGGGAGAAAAGTGTTGAATTTGTGGTATATTTATTGCTTCCATTGATTTTCCCCTTGTCAATGCAAGTATGTAGGAGTTGACATGGCAACAGAGAGTAGACTTAGACTTAAACTTGGACTTGGACAGACTATATTGATGCACAAGGGTAAATGCGTTGTCACAGCAGCTTGCATATGTATTTCACAATAAAAAATTAAAACAACATTAAAGTAACAGTCTGAAAATAATAATAATATAATATTGTGAGAAAAAAATAAACATCTGTTAATATACAATACATACACGGACAACACAGCTAAAGTTTAAGTCTGTATGGAGCAGTATGGAGCAGGATGAAGCAGTATGGAGTAGTATGGAGCAGTATGGAGCAGTATGGAGCAGTATGGAGCAGTATGAAGCACTATGGAGCAGTATGGAGCACTATGGAGCAGTATGGAGCACTATGGAGCAGTATGAAGCAGTATGGAGCAGTATGGAGCACTATGGAGCAGTATAAAGCAGTATGGAGCAGTATGGAGCAGTATGAAGCAGTATGGAGCAGTATGGAGCAGTATGGAGTAGTATGGAGCAGTATGGAGCAGTATGAAGCAGTATGGAGCAGTATGGAGCAGTATGGAGCAGTATGGAGCAGTATGGAGTAGTATGGAGCAGTATGGAGCAGTATGGAACAGTATGAAGCAGTATGAAGCAGTATGAAGCAGTATGAAGCAGTATGGAGAACTATGGAGCAGTATGGAACAGTATGGAGCAGTATGGAGCAGTATGGAGCAGTATGAAGCAGTATGAAGCAGTATGGAGCAGTATGGAGCAGTATGAAGCACTATGGAGCAGTATGGAGCACTATGGAGCAGTATGGAGCACTATGGAGCAGTATGAAGCAGTATGGAGCAGTATGGAGCACTATGGAGCAGTATGAAGCAGTATGGAGCAGTATGGAGCAGTATGAAGCAGTATGGAGCAGTATGGAGCAGTATGAAGCAGTATGGAGCAGTATGGAGCACTATGGAGCACTATGAAGCAGTATGGAGCAGTATGAAGCAGTATGGAGCAGTATGGAACAGTATGGAGCAGTATGGAGCAGTATGGAACAGTATGGAGAAGTATGAAGCAGTATGGAGCAGTATGAAGCAGTATGGAGCAGTATGGAGTAGTATGGAGCAGTATGGAACAGTATGGAACAGTATGAAGCAGTATGAAGCAGTATGGAGCAGTATGGAGCACTATGGAGCACTATGGAGCACTATGAAGCAGTATGGAGCAGTATGAAGCAGTATGGAGCAGTATGGAGCACTATGGAGCACTATGGAGCACTATGAAGCAGGATGGAGCTGTATGGAGCAGTATGGAGCAGTATGGAACAGTATGGAGCAGTATGGAGCAGTATGGAACAGTATGGAGAAGTATGAAGCAGTATGGAGCAGTATGAAGCAGTATGGAGCAGTATGGAGCACTATGGAGCAGTATGGAGCAGTATGGAACAGTATGAAGCAGTATGAAGCAGTATGGAGCACTATGGAGCACTATGGAGCAGTATGGAGCAGTATGCAACAGTATGGAGAAGTATGAAGCAGTATGGAGCAGTATGGAGCAGTATGGAGCAGTATGAAGCAGTATGGAGCAGTATGCAGCAGTATGGAGTAGTATGGAGCAGTATGGAACAGTATGAAGCAGTATGAAGCAGTATGGAGCAGTATGAAGCAGTATGAAGCAGTATGAAGCAGTATGAAGCAGTATGGAGCAGTATGGAGCAGTATGGAGCAGTATGGAGCAGTATGGAGCAGTATGGAGCAGTATGGAGCAGTATGGAGTAGTATGGAGCAGTATGGAACAGTATGAAGCAGTATGAAGCAGTATGGAGCAGTATGAAGCAGTATGAAGCAGTATGGAGCAGTATGGAGCACTATGGAGCAGTATGGAGCAGTATGAAGCAGTATGGAGTAGTATGGAGCAGTATGGAACAGTATGAAGCAGTATGAAGCAGTATGGAGCAGTATGAAGCAGTATGGAGCAGTATGGAGCACTATGGAGCAGTATGGAGCAGGATGAAGCAGTATGGAGCAGTATGGAGCAGTATGGAGTGTGGCACATCCATGCTGGGGGTACATTTCCCTATGGGGACAATCAAGAATAACATGGCTCTGTATCTCTGTCCTGATGGAAGGAGCTCAGTGTGGGCAGCTGATGTGGTCTTGGAGCTGAGGAGACGCACTGCTTTACTAGATGCACAGACAGCAGAGTTTGTGATTGGTCTGCCATTTTACTGCAGCTTTTAGCTTTTGACCGACCAAACAAAGGGACCAGGTTAAATTAGGGACTGAAATACTGCTGTATTGAGACGTAAACTTCTAATCAGTGTCTTTTGAGTAGTTCATGTTGTCATTGCGATTTTAGAATAGAAAACACATGCATTTGATAAAAAATTACTCTACCAGCTTGTGTACATCTTAAAACACTGATGTTGGTTGGGTATTTAGAATAAGTGATGCTGGTATTGACTGGTGTTCAATGAACTCACAAATACTTCTTTGCTATACTGTATATCCGCATGTACCAGTTTCTGCCCATGGTATTTGCACAGGGTGTTTTGAAATTGTTAAAATACAAAATAATAATGTAAAGAAAGAAAGAATCCTTTTTGAAGCTGTGTTGATGAAAGCAGAGCGCTGACCTGAAACAGTGCTGATGCAGAGGGGAGCAGTGAGGCTGAACCAGGTCGCAATCGGCACAAACCAGCGGCATAAGCTCAAAAACAATAAAAAGCTTAAACTGCACTTTGAAATGCAGACTGGCTTGTATTAAAGATGTTTTACTTTACGGTTGAATTGTTTAAGAACAAGGTCAAAGGGAACGCAGCATAACAGTCTGTCATCTTCACAAAATAATGCATGTTTTTCCACTGTACACGTCCAACAAAGAAGACTGTTTATTGAGACAACTTACAGGGTTATGCTTTTTGTTTTTCTGAAATGTTAACTATAAGGTCTTCAGTTTTGGTCCTGTGTCTCTTAGCGCCGGATAATAATACCGCTGGTAAGGTAATCCTTGGTCGCAAACGAGATAAAGTTTCAAGCTACAATTTGTAGACTACAATCCATGATCCTCCTCACTTTGGTGGAAAATTGCGTTCAGATTGCTTATGTTCAAAGCGGCTTCTTCTGCATTTAGAAAGCAGCATGGGGGCCATCAGCACTCGGTCAGTCTTATCACACGGTCTATCGGTGCTCCAGAGAGAAAGGGAGGCTGTTCGGCCAAGTGCAGAGGTGGCTTGCGCTCTGGAGGCCCCTGGGGCGACCATGGGAGGCCCCTGAGCACAATGATACAGCAAGTGACAAAGTGATAGATGATCATAAGTTCTGAGCTTTTCCCCTGATAACTTGTGAAGTGGATGTGTACCATGAGCTGTGAGGCGAAATTGTGAGAACACCTCACCTTGGCAGAACGTGCGTCCGTTGCCCACAAAGCCGTACTTGCAGTTACAGACTTTACCCGATCCGTCGGTTTTGTCGTCACAGGTAGCGTTGGAGTGGCATGACGCACACACATCAAAGGAATGAGCCATCTGCAGCACTGGTACAATGAGAGGCACATCCTGAAACCTTCTCTACACTTGAACAGTTCAGTTCAGTTGCAATAATAGATACGTAAGTGCCATTAGAAATACATCTGAAAGCCTTTTACCTCGCTTTTACCAAGAACTTCTTTGAAAATCCAGATATAGTTTAGTGCTGTTAGAGCAAATACTTTCAAATGCACTGCCAAAAACAACACGTGTTGCAGATTGTAGCCAACAACTTTTAGACAAAATGAAGTATCTGATTTTGCTGTTGAAGTCTTCATTTTGTAAATTCATTTGATTTGAATTCCAATCATTAAGAAACAATGTTTTACAATGTATGTGTTGTCTGCTACGTCGATTGTAAAGTCAAGTTTATAATAACGAAATAGTATAATAATAGGATTTGCTTGAGGAGAATTGGGCCAATGGAGCCTCAACTGTTTTTCAGGTTTTATATTTATTCCATACAAATAGGAAGCTAACCGGTTCTTGCTTTGGAAAAAATCTCTCTCCACAATCCATAAAGTCCTTGGATGTTCCAGTAACAACACTTTCTATGAAAGTATACGTCATTTTCAAAACATAGTATTCTTGATTATGTTTGTATCAAAAGTTATTGTAAATGGACCATAACTCAAACATGTTCAAACTAATAATGTTGTGAAAGCAACATTACTTTAATTTGGGCTCTGTATGAGAATAAGAATTTCCTTCTCCGGCCTAAAGTCAAACGTTTAGATGACATTAAATGTAAAACTGGCTCTTTTCACAAAGAATCAGATGTCCCATTTTTTATTTGACTTCACTGGAAGTAACAGGGTCCTCCTAATTTGTCCATTTAAATGAAAAAAGCACTTCTTGTGATTCAGTTCTTTTTGACTCGTCATGAATGAGAGTATTCCAATTTTAATGGGTGCTGCTATTCACTTTTGTCACTTCAGTTAAAGCTTGATAAATGAGGCCCAAAAAGGTCCTGAGAACAGAACAGCAGACAGACGTATTACTTTCTATCTTTGCTCCTACAACTTACATCAGCTGTTCTCGCCGGTATCTAAACTAAACATAACAGAATGAAGGTTACACTCTTACCTGCAGTGACTGAGAGCACAAATACCACAGCTTCAGGTCTGACTTTCATCCTTCTCTTCCTCAAAGTGATGCCTCAGAGAACATTCTTCTGCTTCTCAGGCTCTCCCAATCCCTCCTCTTCCAGTCCCATACTGAGTGACTTTATAATCAATGGCAGCAGTAGTAAAAGTAGTATCTGGTGGTTTTTCTGTGGTTTTCCGCTGCAACACATTCGGTTATATGTCACTCCTTGTACTGGCGATAAAGACTTCTGTGGCCACTGATAACAGTCACAGAGTATATTTGGCCCACTGACCTTCTCTCCAGAGGAGGAGCATCGGTCTATGACGGGTCGTGACATGCATCTGTGTCTTTGTCTGTTTTACATTTATTTAACCTTATATATAAGTGCGGCAGTATCAGAAGTGTATATGGGCATCTGGATCCAGGTCACTTTCCACCTTGCTTCCTCACATATTTCTGTCATTGATTCTAAAAGTCCTCAGTGTCATGGCTGCAACTGGACCACTGGAGCACACTTTTTATCTTTTACCCGTGACGTCGGAAAAACTGAAACTCTGGACTTCACTTGCATAGAAACAACACAGAGTAAAGTCTCTGGAGACGTGCAGACAGTACAGACCAGGGGCCGCTATAGAGCATTTTATTTGTGTGTCCATGTGGTCTGTGGGCTGGTGTGGTCAGATCTATGTGTTTACCCTATGTTCTCTGTGGCTGTGTTTGGTCAGACGCAAGACATAAAAAACAAAACAATGTCCAGAATCAATGTCAAACTTGCCAGCCCTCCTCCCAACATTTACACACAGTCTCACCACCATCACACACAGTCTCACCAATGACATGCAGTTGGTTCAGAATCACAATCAAGAAATATTTATATCACAATTTACTGAATATAAAATGCAGGACTCTGAACAGCACATTGACCCGGACAGCAACTTCTTGTGGTGCGAGGGCTGTGATATACTGGTGGATCCAATGGTGTAGGTTTGGTTCCAATCTTGGTGGGGACATTCACTACGACCTGAGTCTACACCCATTGACACGGGGTCCAGAGTTTCTCCCCCAGAATTTGTTGTGTAATCACACACTATATTTGCAATAGTGTGTTGCCTTCTATACTAAACTCAGCTGTAGACTGAATGAGAAGCAGTTATGTATGTTAACAGAAGATTAATCATCACAATTCATAATTTGCTATTACTTGTGCTTTCTCTTACTTACTTTCCAACTGTTAAAAAAGCTCCTGATATCTTTTATCTTATTTGTGGAGGTGGCATTTTTTCTAAATTATATAAGAAGGTATAGACAATCAAAAACAGACATTCATATACATGAACTGCAGAATCATTTATATAACTTGGCCAATGTCAAAAGTTACATAGTATTTCTCAATACAATGAGTTAACAAGAGTTTGGCAATAAGTAACAGTGTGGATTTTTCTATATTTTTCTTTTTTTTATTCCACTCTCTACCCAAAAAGGCAAGTAATGACTCACAGGGCTCTCAAGTATGCAAAATAAAAACTTAAATGACCTGTTGTGGTGTGTTTTGCGCACAACCAGCATGCATCGTTAACGCAATGGAAAATTTACGTATCCGAGCTTTAATTTCGGGAGCGCTGGTTGCGCTTTGGGAAGAGTCAGGGGAGAGACATGTCAGAGACACAGGGGAGAAACGGGGGAGATACGAGGGAGACCCGCACTTGCAACATGGTTCTGTCTGCATATGGTCCGAGCTCGGTACCATGTTAGAGCTGTGCTTTCACTGAGCGCCGCGGCTGTCATTACAAAGCGGCAGCAGCTGCACCAGGACGTGCACATTCGAGTGCATCTCTTGAATGTGCTTAGAGCAAATAACAGCAAGTGCCCGCTGTCACACATTTCACAGAAATTACATTATCAGCAGATAAAGGTTGTAAATCGTGGATCCGTGGAATATTTTCATCCCTAGTTTATCCTGATTCACACAACACACCCACTTATACATTTTGGATAGTAAGAGCACAATAAGTATTTTTTCAGCCTTTCAACCAACCTGTTTCTTTATTGGAGCCAGTTCTGTTCTGTCTCTGTGCCGTGTGAGCTCCTCGGAACATTAAACAGTGCGCTGACAGATTAGAAATAACGTAAGTACTTTGAATGGTAATAGATCTACAGTACTTTCCTCTGATTACTCACGTGCTACAACGCTCAGGGAACGAAAAAAAACACTTGCTTCACGCTGGCTAACTTTTAAAAATTAAACAGTTGCTCAGTGCTTCAGTTTGGCGCTGAAGAAGACAGCCAATCACTGCAGAGAACGGAACGGGTCACGTGCTGCTGCTGCTGCTGTTGCTCTGGAGGCGAGGAGGAGGCGCGACGTGTGCACAAACGGAAGACATGTGTCCCGGACCGTCCGGGTCACGGGACATCATGTCATTTTGGTGGGGACTTTTTAGTCCTCACCAAATATTGGTGGGGACATGTCCCCATGGTCCCCACGCAAACCTACGCCCTTGGGTGGATCATTTTAAATACTGGTTTGTTGCCAACAAGGCCACCCCGAAGGGAAAATAAAAAATAAAGGATTAAGGCTAACACAGCCCAAGCGAAAAAAAAATACATTTAAATATACTTATAGTGTATTCCATTTCTAACTAATACATTGTAAACATATTTTGTTAAATTATATTTAAATCGAGTATATTTAAAGTTTACTAATTGTGTATTTTAAAGAAGTACTCCAAATACATTTATTATTTATTATATTATAATATATTTGAAAAATAATATATTAATTTTTATTACGCTCAAAATATACCTAAAATATATTACAGATCTGTATTTTAAATATATTTCACAGGAGTATACTTAAAATGTATTTAAGAAAACTACACTTAATTTTAGTACAAGAAAAATATATCATAAATACATTACAGATTTGTATTCTAAATATATTTTATGGTAGTATACTTGAATGTAAGAGAAAATACACTTGATTTTAGTACACAGCAAATTCAATAGTGTTGGATTGACAGCTGTTGAGAGATAGAAGGAAATATATATATATATATATATATATATATATATATATATATATATATATATATTTTTTTTTTTTTCATTTACACTAAGACTAAAATAAACTATTAATATGTTGTTAATCTGGCAAAAAAGATACAAGGATCCAAACATTCAAGGATCAACAGCAAATACATTGCTGGTTCTTAACACTTCAGTAATAAATGTAGAAGATATCTTCAGCTGTCTCTCCAAACATGATCAGTTTTACTCAGCTTTAACTAAAACAGAAGCTTGACCTGACAATCCATTTTCAGATGTAAAATCTATTAGTGTTAAAATTTCACAAAACCTTTCATCATTCAGCTGTACAACAGAGTTATTTCTTTTTTTAAGAGTTGTGTTATAATATGAATGATACAAAACCCTAGCATGTGTGAAACGATCATAAACTAAACCAGAATGAATAGCTGCTAACTATGGAGGCATCCGCTCCAATGATCCGCGCCTAAAATATGATTGTCCAATCAGGTGCTGCATTCATTGCAGCTTTGAAACTATCAGCCAATCAGAACAGTTGGTCTTGCTCTTGCGCATGTAGTACTCATTTGAAGAAAAACAGCAGCTAAGGATGACATCCTTCATGCTCGCGATTTTTACCTGCACAATAACAGCTTGAAAGTGGAGAACACCGGAATAATTCTAAAGAGTTCAGGAAGATTCAAGCAGGTAACCTCCCAGCCCGATTTAGACGACGACAATTGGATAGAAATTAAGTGTGGGTCACGAAAGGAACACAGCAGGACAGAGGCTGCTAAAGTGCTGCTATTTGAAGTTAGCTTAAGCTTGCTAGGTTAATTTTATTTCACGATGAAATATTTATGCCTCACCGATCGTTCCTTTTCAGATGTATTTCAAGAACTTGTTTTTTTTTTCCTCCTGGGTAAAATATTTGGGCCATAGATGACACGTGTGTCGCTGCAAATGGCGACTGGTCTGAAGAAACATCTTGTCAGGTGAGACATACAGAACAGGGTATGTTTGCTTTTGCTAATGTTATGTTTGGGTCTATCAAACGTATGCTTTTTATTTTTAAAGTTGGGCTATATTAACTTGTAATGAAAACCCTACTCGGGTTTTAAACCTATGCTTTGCATTGAAAATATTAAACTCTTTCCATACATTGTTTTCTAGGCAAAGAAAAAGCTCCAAAAAATAGAGAGACTGCAAGTACAAGAAACGTAATTGAGGGACAAAAAAAAACACTTTCTCAAAAAAGAAATCTTGAACAATCTGAGGATCTGTTTGGCAGCAGTTCAGAGGAGCGTTTGTCACCTGTCCGCATGGTAAGTCTAATTTGTTGTGATGTTAATGATTCAATATACTGACCTGTGGTATTATAAAGTATATCCATTTTCTTTATTCTCAGTCAAAGAAGAGAAGGCTATGTGTATGGCCTCAACAATTCTCCCCACAAGCAAGCAGTTCTGATGAAACCCACATAGAGCCCACATCATTCAGACCATGTATGTATTTTGACATGCATATATACATACATCATTTACAACATGTGTTATACTTAACAGGAGGAAAATTGATTGTGTGGCTTCAGTTGTGAGGGAGGCAAATGGATTCATTCCCAGTTATACTGCAGCGCCTACCATGGAAGAGATAATTTCATGTCTTCGTGGTAAGTTTAGTGGCTTATCAAAATGTAACCTATATTGTTCATAATGTTTGCAAGTAAGTAATCTTTATTTATATACCGCCTTTTAACTGCAGATCTGAGTTTCAAAGCGGTTTACAATTGCATTAATGCATTAAGGAAATTTAATTTACTTTTTATTTTTGAAGAACTGCCTGAAACCTTAAAATTAATCAAGGAGTGTGTGGAGGGTTAGGGTTACTGCTCACTTTTATGTCATCCCACAGCACTTCTTGCCTGGAAACAATGTTAGCGTTTCAAAAATGGCTTTTCCTGAATCGAATTTGCATGTTTTTCACACAGGAATTAACTGTCCTTGTTTTCACGAGGGAGATATTAGCAACATCAGCCCGAACTGGAAAATCAGGAAGAAGGGAAAGGGTGAGGCATCAACTTGATGCTACAAAAGTGCAACCCATAACAGGTGAGTGACCAAATCTGATTCAAGTCTCAGATCTTTTGCACAATAGGTATGAATGTAAATGAGAGAGTGAATGGTGTTGATTGGGGGCTGATGCGCCAGTGTGTTCGGCAACTTGCCTCCGTCATCACCGTCATTGTAAAGCGCTTTGGATGACCTTGGTCTGTAAAATGCTCTAATATATATATATATATATATATATATATATATATGACTTACTATATTTACAAAACAGATTTGAATTAATATTTTTTTCTTTTTCTTTTTTTTTGGCAGATGCAGTTTCCGAGGTTCGTGCAGCACTAAGACGGAAGTGCAAAAATGAGCAGTTCTGCCAAAAGAAGGAATGAATACTTTTATGTATACACTGTGTGTATGTTAGCTAGTTCCGGGGAAACGGCGACATGAGCGGCGACCGCATCCGGTGCCTGTGTTTCGCTGGTGATTCAGGCTAAACTTGGAGGTCGTTTAGGTCCGTTTCAAGTTCTCTGCTGTTGACTATATGCCTCAAGTAAAGCACACACCTCTTGTTCATGCTCCTCAAAGTGACAAGTGTGAGCGAGCGTCTGTTTTTGTGAAAAAGCATTAGACTCTCATGTCAAATCAATGTTAAAAACACATCATATAGGGCTATTCCTTACCATTTTACGACCATTCTCCCTATAAATATTGAATTCTACCCCAGTTGGAATAAGTTCAAAGACAATAGTTGATGGTTTTAAATAGTTTGTCTTTGAAATACCTCAATTTAAAGCTATTAATGAGTTCTGTCCAGTCGGTGTTTTCAAGTTGATTTGACGCAAGAGCCGGACTGTGTTTGTTTGGGGTTTTTTTTTCACAAAAACAGACACTCGCTCACACACTTGTCACCCTGAGGAGCTTAAACAAGAGGAGTGTGTCCTTTACTTGAGGCATTTGGTCGACAGCAGAGAACTTGAAACTGATCAGAAACTTCCTCCAGGAATTACTGGCGATAGACAGGGACTGAATGCGGTCGACAACTTGGACGTGAGATGTATATAAGTTTTTTTTTTTTTAATATGCATTTTATTTGAGTAAATAGTAAACAACTATTTTTGTAAAGAAACACTTGTTGCAAATTTTATGTGCAAGCGCATAATAAAGTTTATGTTGCATTGTATCAATGATTTGTTGTTTTTTATCTGTATAATACAGAAAAATGTTTTTAAATATATTTTTATATATACTGTAAGTTAATTGAAAATATACTGTAAGTTAACTGCAAGTATGTTATGAATATACTTGAAGTTTCATAGAAATGTATTACTCAATCATGAATTAAATACCCAAAAATCAAGTATACTTAAAGTATAATAAGTGCACTTAAAGTTGTTCCACTTTAGTACACATTAGTATATTAATTATACTTTCAATTTACTTTAAGTTCTATTTAAATTCAACTTAAATCTATTAAGCACAAAATAAGTTGTTTCAAAATAGCACACTTAAAGTTTATTTGACTGTTATTTCTGAAATATATTTAGTATGCTAAATTTCAGTATACTAAGTATATATTTTTTTCACCTGGGAGGTAAGTAACTGAGGGACAGAGACAAAATTAGAAAAAGGTTTACAATATTTATTTGATTATATTAACATTCACTTAAGTTCATAATTAAAATAGTTTTTAAAATGCAGTGCACAGTACACAAAACAAACACAATGACCCTAGATTAACTTGTTTTAAAGTGCATTGGTGCTTCAATGTGCATTTGTGCAAACTCACAGCAGCTATTTCAAAAGTTACAGGCACCTCCTTTAACTGATGGCCACTAAATGGACCACACTGTATGGACCCCAGGAAAACATGGGCCAAGGCAACTCAGGAGGAGAGAAAAGGAGAGGCTCGAGAAGACTGGACCATGGATCCTCTGCGTGAAGCGCTCACCTAGGGACCCAGCGCAGGAGGCGCGTAGAACCGGGTGCCCCACCGTAATGGTATGTGACAGCACGCACACCAGACATGCGGGAGGTGTCCTCAGTTGACCCTGCACCGCGACTGGGCCGCAAGATGCCACGCACAGAGCGTAGTTGTGAGCTCAATATAAAGCGCGAATGCCAGCTTTAGGGCCGGCAACTGTGTTTGTCCAAGCTGTGGAGCCAGACTCCACGCTGCGCAGCTCACTGCTCCTGGGACAGCGGTGACGTCAGAGGCGGGCAAAGAGGTGGTGCAGGGGATCCATCCTCCTTTTAAAGAGAGGAGGCAAAAGGCTGCCACCGGGCACGCAGGGCCTACTACTACATTCTCCTCCATTGATTATACCTGTAATTATTATACTGAAGAGGTGTTCAACAACCATATCGATGCTTCATGCAAATTATCACTGGTCCATTTCAACAGCAGAAGCCTTTATGCAAACTTCTATCATATCAAAGACTATGTAAAACTAGGCCTGTCGCGATAGTCAATAAATCAATTAATCGCACGATAAATAAAATTTGCTCAATAACTTTTCTGGCCGCGATAAATCCCATTTGCATGCTTGTTTGTTTCCCCGTCTCTCTCGTCAGAGAGCCGCAAAGTGGTCACGGGAACATTAGCGGTCTAGCAAGCAGACAGAAATTACTCAAAAATACAAAATACAGCCAAAACAGGACCTAAACCAGGACTTAACCAGGATCGACAATGGGGGACACAGTAGTTGTGAACATATGCCGGCAGCTGAGTTCTCATTCAGGCTTGATTAGTGACTATACTAGCGCAGCTAGCGTTAGCGCAGGGGTGCTCACACTTTTTCAGCATGCGAGCTACTTATAAAAGGATCAAGTCAAAATGATCTACCTACTACAAAAATGCAAATCATATATTTATTTCAAAAAATATTCGTTATACCTACAATGTATGTTTATGTACATGCAAAACCGCATGAGCCAATTTAGCACAACACAACACAATTATCTATGTACATTTTTTGTCATTACCCGAGTTTACTCTGATGACTTGCACTGAATTGAATCGGCCAGGGATGCATAGTCCGGAAAATTGGTGGTAACTCGCTGACAAGTTTGTCGTGGTTTAGCTTTCCTGCACTGAGCGCGGTTGTTTGCGCATGTGCAGTCACCTAAGTGTCAGTAAAACATTACTGAGTAAAACACAGATGTAATTTTACTGTGGTGCCATGTCCATGTGCCATGCCTGGTTTTTTTTAAATCCAAATATTTCCCCTCCTCAGTTTATAAAATAATTTGCATCCACACATCTGCGTTATCAATCACATTCGTAACATTCCAAACATGTGCGTCTCTTACGTCCTGTCCTGCGTTGGGGAAAAACACAGAAGTGGGCGGAGTTCTGATGCAGACGCCGGTAACGGCACTTTTACAGTCTTAGGCCCAGTCCCAATACCCACACTGCACCCTACGCCCTCCTATGAAGTGTGCATTTGTTTGAAGTGCGCGCAAGGGTTTGAGTGCGCAGGTTGCAAGCGTGCACAAAAGGTGGAATTGGGACATTGCACACTGAGTGCAGTTTACGTCATCGACTCGTCAAGAGATGGTCATTTTAAGACCTAAACTTTATAAAAATTAAAGGTAATTTTGTCTGACCCTTTGGGAAACAATATGAATTGCTTCACACACGTTAAAACACATGTATATTAGTTGTTTTTAATTAGAGATAGCGGTATAATTTTAAGTTAAATGTGGGTAACTAACTATCTGGTCAGTTTTTATACATTCTAAGATTATTGTACTAAGTGTAAAGTTTAAATTGAATGTTATAGAAACGCTTGCTTTAAAAAGTTATTAAATTGTTAAAACACAATGTCCGTAATTCTTCATCAGACGTTTATGCTTCTTTCCAAGTAACATAGCAAAACTTATTTACACACATACTGCATATATATTTCAAAATGTATATTTAATTGCATTTTCCCGTCGTTTTGGTGTCCCGTCGCAAAGAATTATGGGCAATATCCTTCGCCAGAGTGCGCATAGATGCAGGCTACGGCGAAGTGTGGATCAGGGGCGCAAAGGGGGCGGGGCCAAAGACCTCCCTGGAGAATTGGGACACCCTACGCACTCGCACCCTTTATCGGGAACGCGCAAATGAGGGGCGCGAGGGTGGAAGTGCGAGTATTGGGACGGGGCCATAGAAGACTAAAGACGTATGTTTACAAGCACTGACCCCGTCCTCAGCCCTGATTTAGTCCTGGTTTAGTCCTGGTTTAGTCCTGGTTTAGTCCTGGTTTGGTTGTTTTCGAGCGTGAGTCCCCGCGATCACTTTGCTGCTCTCTGATGTGGAGCGAGGATGTTCGCTGCTGCGAGCATCTCACAGCGGACAATTTTTAAGGTCGTATGATCCATGCTTCAGTGATCAGAAGAATTTAAGGGGGTACTGTGGCGTGCGAGAACGCAAAACTCCGGTTATCTCTGTCTACACACAAATGCATTAACGGAGTTTTCAAAAATCTCCACTTTGCCCGGAGTTTTTTGTATATATTCGTTTAGAATGTGTAATTTTTTCATTTATTTAATGCGATCTACCAATACTACCTTTGCGATCGACTGGTAGATCGCGATCGACGTATTGAGCACCCCTGCGTTAGCGTGTTCGCCGATGCAGAAGTACCGTACCATACCAATAAAATAAACTTATGGCGCACCTCCGTGAACACATACTGCTGTTATATAAAGTCTCTAGAAGGTCTCTGAACACAGAGATGCTGCAGACTTGCATTCTTGGAGTAGAACTTTACACAAAAAAATCCGCTAGCTTAGCTGTTAGCATCAAAGCCTGCCCCGCTACTTCCGGTGGGCGCTACCGCAGCAGGACTTCTGTACGCCCCATTGGTGAACCCACATGTCAGTCACTTGTCATTCGCCTGGTGTGTGGGGAGGCGGGACTACTCCTGAGAGATCCTGTCTTAAGCCACACAAAGTCAACATGTTGGTATTTCTTTCTCGTAATCTGCCATAAAGTCTGAGAAATTATTGACATTTGAGGCATCTGTTTCATATTTTCTTTACAAAGGTCCTGGCAGTTTTATTCCTGGTCATTTTTTGTTAAGAGACTTTTATTTATTGTTTTTGGTTGTTTGTTAATTTATTGTGTTCTAGCGTTAAATATTCGTTAAAAATAAAAGTTTATTTCTCTTTGAAAAGGTGTACCTGCATTATCATTGTAATCGATGCAAATTATCTCAGAACGACAATATAATCGCTTATCGCAATAATTTCTGAGACAATTAATCGTCCAGCAAAATTTGTTATCGTGACAGGCCTATGTAAAACAGTTTACTCAAGCTTTCAGCATAATAGCCACATCAGAAACATGGGCTGCAGAAAATAAAGGCGTATACTTTGAAATTGAGGGGTATGAAATGAATTA